TTGTGGTGGTCTGGAACTGAACCCATAATATACCTGAGATAGGTCTGTATCACATGGAGAAAAATTTAAAAGGCTGACTATGCCAATTATTGGCAAAGCTGTAAAAAACTAGATCTTGCGCACACAGCTAGTGGGTTGGAAAATGGTATAACCATTTGGAAAATGGCTTGGTAGGTTCTTAAAAAAATTAAATATGATCTAGCCATTCTACTACTCCTTATTTACCCAACAGAAACAAAAACATATGTTCATCAGAATATCTAGCTTATGGGTTTATCTGTAATAACCAGAAATGGGAAGAAACCCCCAAGTATCCATCAGCAGGTAAATGGATGGATAAAGGAATTAGAGTATTTCCATACAGTGGAATACTACTGAGCAATGAAAAAGGATGAATTATTGATCTGTGAAACCATGTCGGTGAATCTCAAACTCAACCTGGGTGAAATAAGCCAGGAAAAAAGAATTTGGGAACATACTGTATAATTTTATTTATATAAAGTGCTAGAGGAGTCAAACAAATCTATAGTTTTCAGAGTGTAGATTCATTGTTGCCTGAAGCCATGGGTAGAAGGATGGATTACAAAAGGCATGGGGAAATTTTTTTTTTAAGAAATGGAAATGTTCATTATGTTGATTGTGGTGATGATTTCATATGTGTCTATGTATATTAAAATCAACCTAATTATACCTTTTAAATATGTGTAGCTTATTTATTTCAATTAAATGTTAGTAACATAGAAAAGGAAAACAGGGAAGTGGGAAAAAAAGAACTCAACACAAAAAGTATTTATACTTTATAAAACCTGATTAATTTAAATTATATCCAAAATTTAACTGACTTCTATTTAGTTACCAAGCATATTTTAATACAACATTCAGATCTCCTAAAACAGTTTTTCATATTTCTGCTGGTAAAACACCAAGAAGTTATGTTATTTTTTATGAAGTGTCACACCTTTCACAGGAATAGCATGAAATACTAATAAATTTAATTCTATCATAAAAGCCAAGTATGAATTCCACAACAGAAACAGACTCTATTAAGTGTATATAACATAATACACATCCAAGAGTTTGAATGATATTAAAATTAGTGTGATGTCCTGCTTTGGAATTTAGGGTTAATATTCACTTATTACTTCTCCAATAGCTTCATTTTTGTTTACTGGTGTTCCTTTAGCAAACAGTAAGCTTTATAAAAATGTATTGTTGAAAAATCAAAACTGAGAATTTTATGTGCATTAATTGGTCTCTGATGAGCTGAGAAAAGGTTCAACTGAGGAAAAAACCTTTATTTGACTGTAATGGCAGGACACTCTGAAAATGCAGCCCACAGTTTTAAGGATCACCGCCCTGACATACGGAGTCCCCCAGGGAGGGTTAAAAGTAGAACTACATCAAGTGGACAAGACATTTATGGAACTGCTAAACACGTTTAAAAGAGAACATATCTACAGAGTGTTTGCTTTATCACGAACACCCCAAATTATCCAGGCCTGGCGTAACTCTACCATTGAAGAATTTTAGTGTTAACTGCAGTGAGGGTCCACAGGAATCTCACAAACTCACTCTCAATGAGGAATCCTGAATAAGGGACCTGGGAATTCTCAAGAGAAGGGAGCTCAAAAGGAAAGACAGACATACTAACCACAATGCAGGCCACTATCTCCCTGTGGTTCACCGAGTACCCACTATGTCTACAGGGTAAGACAAAGATCCAACAAATATGAGACACACTCCAAACTCCACCCTCTTCCCCTGCTTCTAACAAAATTCCCAAATAACTTCCATGGTGAGATAAGAAAAAAAATTTTTTTTAAATTGGTACCCTAGTTTTTATATATATATTTTAGAAATCTCAACTGAGGTTTTCTATGGACAAAGAAGTGTTACAGAACACGAGTTCCTTGAACCTATGAAAACATATAACTGTGATATATGCCTTCATGAGAAACCACAAAGTGATTAACAGGTGCGGTTGGCTATGAGTGCCCAAATTCCAGACCAGAAAGACTTTGGAATCTATCAAGTCTTTGACATCTACTGCAATACTTTCTGCTAACTACTTCATTTTAATTTACTGAGACAGCCTTTTGAAAGGCTGGTTATATTAATAGTCACTTAAATTTTTTGATGATAAACCAGAGCTTTAAAACAGGGTTGATGCTGCTCATCGAGGATGAAATTTGCCAGAGAAGCGAAGCAGCAGCAAAGAGACCTCGGCCAACACCTTTTTTTAAAGCGACTTGGAATGTGTAACGTGGCAACATAGATATTTCATAAAGATCATAAAATTGTTCTGCCATTTTAGCCCCAAAGCGGCAGTATTTACCTCATTTAGCATCCCTTTAAATATTTTTTTTAATTGCAGTAATTATAGAGTCACAGTAAGTTGCAAAAACAGCCAGAGAAGATCCCATGTAACCATCAGCCAGCTTTCTCAGAAAAAGAAAGGTATTCATCTTCCCTAACTGCGGTGCATTGGAGACCAGCCCATCGACATCAGCAAACCACAGCGAACTAAAGTACCAAGTAGTTCTTTTTAACACTCAAAACCCTGAAGTAAGATACATGAAAAAGTTCACACCTAAGCGTGGTGAGTTTTCACAGATGGAACACACCTGCGTAAGCCACCCTCTCGGCACATGGTCCCACTCCCGAACCAGCCTCCCGGTTTCTGGGAGCACACGTTAGCCCTGCTCGTGTGGCACTGGCAACCACAGGGCCATGGGCATATCTCTGTGTCTCCTCCACTCCCTGAAAAATTTGCCATCACGCCCCTAGCCATCCACTGCTGCTGGGCACTGGGTCCTTTCCAGCGTGGGGCTGTTGCAAACAGGGTTTCTAGGACTATCGGCTACGGACAGGAGTGGAATCGTGGGGTCGTGGGGTAGATGTTGGCTCAGCCTTAGTGGATACGTGGTAGATGCTTAGTTTTCCAGAGTGCATGACATTAATTCACACCCCCTCCCGCAGTGTGTGAGAGTTCCACTGTGCCCCACTGTTTCCAACTTGCCCATTCTGGTGGAGATTTAGTACATCTGGGGGAAGACTGATAGCTAAACATGGAACAGAATACTGGTGGAGGAATCAAAGCAGTAGTTTTTCTCTAGATAATCAAGAATCACCTGGAGTATTTTAAAAAGCAAAACAATCTAAAATTCCAACACCGTTCTTAAAATATATTCTTCTATAATTAATGGAATCATCCTGAGTTGATGCTATGGCTGTTATTTTCCAAAAATGTCTTGGGTTATGAGTCACTGGGGATACATAAAATAGATTTTCAGGCATTCTGTCAGGTTTCTTGAAGGAGGATCTCTTTGGAAAGGCCTTGGAATCTTTTCCTAAGAAGCCTGAGAGATTTTTATCATCAGGCGAGTCTGGAAAACACAGCTCTGTGGGGATCCTCTGACATTAACACCTGTTTAAAAGTGAATCTGAATGGAAAATTACTCCTTCGGGGATTTCGTTGGAGAGTCCCAGGCCCAGAACTTTTCTGGATATTGTCAATTTCTGTAACAACCTCAGAAGCAAGTGTTGGATAGATTGAGGCCCAAGTATGCTGCCCTAGGTCCTTGAATTACACCGAAACTACCATAAAGGCTTATGTCTGAGAGACAGTCTTATTGGTATTTATCAACTTCCAAATAAATCGATGTTCATTACGACTGTGCAACGATAAAGAACATCTGTAGTGTCTTGGAGGAGGGACGTGAGAAGTGCAGTCATGGTGGGTGCAAGTATGACAAGGACAGCTCTGAGTAAGTCCCATACCCTTTCTCCCTGCTTCCCTCCTCTATGGCAGGCGGACGTCGCCCCGTGGTTGGGACGATGAAATAAATCAAAACAGATAAAGGAGATGGAGACATGGCAGGAAATTCATACATGCATTTTTTCCCCTTTGTAATGTTTTTCCACCCTCCAGGTGCTTTGTAACTGCTTCCCAGTAAGACAGACAATTGTTTTGTAAAATTTGCGAATTACCTGTATATCGCAAGTCAGCTTTTGCAAGAGAGGAGAATAATTAAAGTTAAAGAAAAAAAAATGGGGAAAAAACCACTGTTTAATTCCACATCTCCACATTTTTCCTTTCCTTTCATCTCTGTTGGTGGAAACCAACGGCCCTGTAACGTATGGCTGAAAATGACTATAAACAATAATTTGGAAAAATGCAGTAACAAGGAGTAACTTGAGGTAATAGAAAACTGTAATTTTAAAATAAAGTTGAACTCTTCCAAAACTAGAGAACACTGCTCAGGGCCATACACAAACAGTTGTGTTTTTTGTCTTGTTTTGTTTTTAACAGTACCAAAACCACTTGAAAAAGCCAACATTTCAATTTTAGCCTTTTAGACGGCTTTCTAACATCAACATATTAAGTAGTCACATGGCATTTATTCTGGAGATCAAAATACTTCCAGCATCACATTTCACTTGTAAGAAAGCCTATGAAAACCTCTTTTATAAAAATAGATCTAATTCTGTATACTGAAAAGAAACCCACCATATTTGGATTATATGGCCATGAAAGGCCCATTTAACACCATCTGCCAATTACTACATATAAAAAGTAATTAAGAAAGGCTTCTATTAGAAGAGGCCTCCTTCGGCTCTCTGTGGTTTGGGCCTTCTGATCTTAAACCTGGTGAAAACCTCTGGAAAACATTAGCACTTATTTTAGGAAGTCAAAGAGTCAGGCTTTTATTTAGGAGAAAATTTGTAAATACTAATTTAGTGTCATATGCGTATTAAAATTCACCATAAAAACTGAGAGTAGAGAAGCTGTGATTAACAAACGTCCTGCCAACGGTCTCTGCAGTCTGGGCAACCCCTTCACTCCGTGCCTCAGTTTCCTCCACTCTCAAAGGCGGAGAGTGTCACTGCCCGCTTGCTATGGCTGCTGGGCATCCGGAGGCTAAGGGCCGCGAGCCGCGCGGGGGCCACCCACGCTCCATCGGGGCGAGCGATCGCTACCGCGGGCGCAGGGGACTTACGGGGCACTGTCACTCCGTAGTGCTGGGTGTCGCTGATGAGCAGCTTTCGTTTCAGTTCATTCAGACCTACTCCCACGGGACCTGAAAAACAGGAGAATATCAACGCGTTACGAAACAAAACACCGTAAGAACACGGCTATAATTCACCCGGGTCCGGGAGACACACTGAGAACACGGGTCCCACTTGGCATCCCACGTGGAGAGTATCTCGAATTCAGTCGGACCTACAGAAAAGCTAGGTCTTCTGTTGCTTTTTTACTATGAAAATTTAAATCCCTGCCTTTCCATTACAAAGGCGAGAAATACTGATGTTTTCGGTGAAACATAAATGCATCCGAGTCCATCACCCAGAAGAGCCTAAAAAGGTACGAGCGCCCGAAGACGTCCAAGTGCGGAGTCCCGACACCAGCCGTTTCAATTCCGGATGTTTTTAGAGCTTAATAAAAGAACATCTTGGAATGTTAACTTCATTTAATGATGCGTTTTAAATTTGCAAAACCGTCCGCCACGTGTACGTCGGTCGAGGTAACTCCCCGACCCCGTGCCTGCGGGGGGTCCTTCCGCGCGGGCCCAGGTGTTCCGTCTGCGTCTGCACCCGACAAGGTACTGCGGCTGTTGCAGCGGACCACGGCGAACCCTGCCCCCAAAGACAGTCACTGGGTGGAAAGCGTCACACAAAACAACGATGAGACGCGGGGCGAAACAAAAGCGGCTTCTGGGAGGAGTCCCAAAACAAGCCAGAAAGTCACAAGCCCCAAACGGTTAGCGTCTCGCAACTCTGCCATCAGGGCCCATTTACGGTGCGGGCGCCGGGCAGAAGGCAGGCTGTGGCCCAGATGGCCTGGGCCAGAGTCCTCCCCCTCACTCCTCCTCCCACTGGTGATGCCGGCTGCCCGGGTCTGAATGTGTGTCCCCCACCCCCAATTCACAAGTCGGAAGCCCAGCGCCCCAGCGGTGGAAGGCAGGCCTTTCCGCGGGAGCCTAGGGCGTGAGAGTGGAGCCCCCGGGAAGGGCTCGGTGCGCTTGTGGAAGAGCTTCCGGCACGTGGGGACCCCCAGTTGCATGTGACCTGGCCGAGGGCCCTCGTCCGGCCGTGCTGGCTCCTTGACCGCCAAGTGCCCAGCCTCCAGGACTGTGACAAGTCAATTCCTGGCGCGGACAGGCCACCCCAGCTGGGGTATGTCGTTCCGGCAGCCCTGGGGGGCTACGCCACGGACGAAGGTAACATCTTTGAGCCTTGATTCGACTTCATGCTAATTCGGGAAGTAACCACGCCCCCTCTCTCGGGGAATCCATGAACCCAGGCCTTCGTGTTCATTCCCTCGCCTACTTCCTCTTCTGGGCTTTGAGAAGAACAAGGCTTTTGTGCTGGACAATGACGACAAGACAGGTGGCCGGGAAAGAGACTGGGGGGCTTCCTGGGTGGAGGGAGAAGTGTGAGTGAAGATGAAGGGGGAGTTGGGCTGTGCTTTCCTTGCTTTACCAACACTGTTAGGACCGTCCCTGTCCCCCTTTCTGGTCACTCACTCACACCTTCCATCTTTCCCGGAACTGCTGCGGAGTACCAACCCTGGCGCTCCGCTCTCCCTTTTTACAGTGAATACTCTGTAATATCCCATTTATGCCCTGAGATGGAATTCAGAGCTAATGTCACACACTAGCCCTCCAAATTAATAAAATGCCCTCACTGTAATACGTGAAAGATAAAAAAGTACTTATAACAAAGCAGTATGTACTTCAACATGTAAATCCTTGGACATGACTAGAAAACCTAATGACATCGGATGTTCGCCCCCCCCCCCCCCCCCCCCCATACTAAGGCTGGATTTGAAAGTATTAAGCTCAGGAACCGTTCTGTATGAGGAAGTACCTAAAAATGGAAGCCCAAAGGTGCAGGAAAATAGGAGAATAAACATCAGCAAATGGACAGGAAGGACAAGGGAAGCTTTCTGGAATACGGTAAGGGCAGGGGAAACAGCCTCCGTTGAAACAGAGATAACAGGTCAAGACTATTGAAGTGAAGAAAATGATACTTTTGCAAATGGCCCTCACTTTACATGTAAGTATAGTATAAAAATATAATGGGATGGGACAATGCTTCGCTGTCCCAGAAGGCAGACCTCTTGTCTTCAAACCCAACCCTACGCTGAACTGTTCGGGCTCGGAATGTCTATTACAAACATTTAAGAGAGAGTATGTGGGATGCAGAAATGGCATGTCTACATTCCTGGCCCCCTCAGCCATCTATCTGGACTTTAAAAAAGAGTAAATGCCCATATGCTTCCCAGTAGGCAGTGCTGCCCCTGTCAAGAGTCACTGTTCTGAGACATGAGCCCCCGGCTCTTGTCATTCTCTGTACTTGAATTCCTGCCATGGCCTTGGGTGACTCAGCATCCACGTGACTACCGTTCCAGGCTGCCACCATGTTCACCAGCCTCCTCAGCTGCCCCACACCTGCTCACCAGCCACTTCAACCCCCCATCACCAGCAGCCAGAGGGCCTTCTAAGGAGCTGTCCTGATCCTGTCGCTCCCTTGCTTAATATTCTTGGAAACGTAGTTTCCAAAGGCTCTTCTGAAAAAGATTAAAATTGTCACATGGTTACCAAGGCTCCACATGACCTGGTCCCCGCGTCGTCGGCCTGCCTCGAAGCATTTGCTCAAGTTCCCTCCTTCATCTGGAGCCTCGGTGAGTTCTGCTGTGTCAGAGCTTGGCTCAAACAGATCTTCCTCAATCAAGTCTGCAAGACTGTCCTGACCCTGTCAACCTTGTTTCTCATTTTTAGGTTTTCAGAGCCACCCGTACATCTTCCCAATACTTAAAAGCCGCAATTCAACAACTGGGTAATACACTGCTTCATGGCCTGTCTTTCCCACTAGACAGAGGCGCCATGAGGGTAGGAATCCTATTATGTCACTTACATCCCCAGAAGGCAAGCCTCAATAAAAATCTGTGGAATAAGTGCAACTTCTAGCGTCACACCATCACCACCTCATCCACTCCAGAGAACACAGAGGCCAACAAGTAGAAAGGTCTTTGAAGTCCTTTCTAGAAACTTCTATATCTAAACCCATCTAGACCATCATCTAGATGCTTCTCTGCAGTCATACTCTTACACCTTCTCTCAGAGATCAGTCTTCCTGAATCTTTACCTTTTATAGCTAGCTCATTTCTGTCAGCATTTAAAACAAATTCTCTCCTACCTTAAAACAACAACAAACTTCCCTTCCCTTTAAGATGTCCCTCAGCCACTGCTTGTTTCCTCCTGTCCTTGCCACCCTGAGTCCGGCTTCTGCCACTTGTCATGGGCATCTCACATTCTGCCTCCACTGCCTACAGAGTCAAATAGAAATTATCTGACACACCAAGGTTTCCATGCGGCAGACATGCATTACAAGGTTAACACAAACCATTACTAATTCTCTGGGATTGATCTCATGACCCTGACATCATGATCTGAGGTGAAACCAAGAACCGGACACTTAACTGACTGAGCGCCCCCCCGCCAGATGCCTCTACATGTGCTAATTCGTGTTCGTTGTTTCAGCTTAGATACATTTTAGGGAATCTGCTCTAATGCTTTAAAGATGGGTTTAGTACCAAGTTCATGCGTTCCCTTTTGCTCCCAATTCAAAGGACCAATCACACTATACTCTGTCTGTTTACCTATCTCTGTCCTCCGACAGACTGGAGCTCTGTGAAAGCAGGGGTGTCACCTGCTTGTTCACCAGCTGGCAAACGGCAGGCACTCGTTAGTTTTATTCATTTCAATTACACTCAGTAATTGTGATGTTCTGGAGGTAAAACTAACCAAAGGCATGGGAGCTGCACGTACTTAATGGCATCTGCATCTAGAGAGCCTGGGCGTGATGCTGCGGGATTATGCTCATGGTCCCTAAGAGGATTTGGTGGAGCTTTCATTTGAACTTGGCTCTCCCGATCTTAAAGTACAGAGAAGCAGCGGGGAAGGTGATGATTCGGCTGTGGACCAGCAAGTTTCAGGGAAGGGAATCTATCGCCCACGTCCGAGAAGGCCTGCAGTGTAACAGAGGGGCCAAGGCGAGCGTGCCCTCGTGAGTGCAGACACGGCAAGGCACAACTCGGGGCCGCGAGGAGAAATGAGATCTCGGGGAGAGGAGAGGGAAGTGACGTAGCCTTGACCGACTGCGAAATGCCAGGCGCCACATGGGGTGCATGTTTCTGATCTACTCTGAAGGTACCAAAAATATTTAAAGTGCTCAAACTTACTCTTCAATAGAAAACGAAAAAGAAAAACAAGGAGAATTACAAATGGAGCTGTGTTCTCTGCACAGATGTAGACTCAGTTATACACACTCGAAGAAAAAGACAGAAGCGAATAAAACACTCAAACTTAAAGATCACGTCTGGGCCTGCCATGCCCACTCCCAGTCCCAGCACCCAGGGCTAAAAGGGTGACATGAATTTCCCTTTTTTTTTTTTTTTTAGCAGGTCTCAGCTCTGGAGTGCGTCCCAGAGTGCGAGATACTTGCTGAGTGAGAGTCTAGCTTTTTTTTGGTTTTCTTTTTTTCGTTCTTCTATTACCCAATGCCAAAAAACACAATGATTTATTTTAACTCTGGAGGAAAAAACTAGGTGTGTTTGAATTGGGGGAGGGGGCGTATGTTGTCTCTAATAGGACACCCTGACATTCTGAACTGTATTCAATTTTACCCTTTTATATGATCTCTGTGTAGTGAGCTTGCTTCACTGCACACTCATGGGGTATGCCAAGAATGTTCAGTGGCAAATGATTTTGTTTGAAAAATTTTTACTAGATTTGAGGTCATCATCTTCAAAGGTGGGAGTTTTCTTACAAAAAAGGTTAAAATAGGGATACGGTTTTCATTATTCTTTTTTTTTTTTTTTTTTAGATTTTATTTATTTGTCAGAGACAGAGTGTGAGACAGAGCGCAAGCAGGGTAAGCGGCAGGCAGAGGGAGCAGCAGACTCCCCTCATCGGGCTGAGCAGGGAGCCCGATGCGGGACTCAATCCCAGAAAACCGGGATCCTGACCTGGGCTGAAGGCAGCCGCTTCACCTCCTGAGCCACCCAGGCTGCAAT